ATTTGTTATTGTCTAATTAGTTTAGCATGTGTTCATTCCGTGATAATTATATATTTGATACAGAACAACTGGATAGCCTAATTGGAGAGAGAGAAAAAACACCTCAATTAGCCATTTGTTATAAGTCTAATTAGTTTAGCATGTGTTCATTCCAAAAAGCGCACACTAAAATATTCTTTTTAGTTATTTGGGTCGTAGAAGGAGCTCAAATATGTTATGTGCAGTTTGATTATAGGCATTCCACTATTGGTACTAAAAAACCCAATAGAAAAGCAGTGATTCAGACATAAAGTAGAGTGGATGTCTTGCATTGCACCTTAATAAATTGAACTTTTCATCAGGCCATTGTGCTCCAAGTGGGAAATTGTTCTGAATGGATTCTTTTCTATGGCTGGTTTGTTAAGGACTTCAATATTCCACTTGTGTGATTAAAACTCAAAGAAACAAAGGACTAAAACTGCAATCGGACTAAGGAACTACCAAATTGAGTATATGATAATTTTTTTTATATATATTCTTCTCTAATATATATGTTTTTATAAAGATGCACAAAGTGGTAAACCCTAAAAGAGTTATATTAAAGAAATCCTAATTTAAATCGGACTATACAAAGGGCTAATTACAAAATATATTGAAAGGAAACCAAAAAACATATTCTCGCCAACACTCCCCCTCAAGCTTGAGCACATATGTCTCGGATGCCCAACTTGTCAATTGAGTCATTGAACACCCTATTGGACATGCCTTGGTCAGAATATATGCAAGTTAATCTTCATAATTTACAACTAGAAACTAAATAAACTCAGTCTCTAAATTCTCTTTAATGAAGTGCCGATCAACCTCAACATGTTTAGTAAAGTCATGTTGCACTATATTATGTGCTTTCTTAATGGCAGCCTTATTGTCTCAGCTGAGACTCATAGCCGCCATAGAAGTTCCACAATTGCACATAGAAGTTGAAACAAGTGTTTAAATGATCAAACAATTAATGTTGTGTACAATAGCTTGTTGGAGTTTGAATAGAAAACCAAGGGTTTCCTTAGTCCCACATTGGTTGACTACAAGAAGTTAACACACTTTATAAGCTTTAGCCCCTTTGTATTATTAAAATGGATTGGCTTTGGGTTGGTTGCAATTGGGCTCATGGCTTGAGCTAACTACTTTGGATAATTAATTAATTAATTAATGTAATCAAGAGTGCATAATAATAAAATCATATGGATGGAGTCTGGCCTTGCCCACACCAACTCATTTAGAATGTCAACTCTATAGCCTGGGCGATCTCGGTATGGCCCTGGGCAATGAATACGAATAAAATTCTATATACTTCAGGTTGCCTTAACAACAAAGCTAGCTGAAAGATGGTGATACCACTACCATAGTCACCACTTGAGTTGAGGAATTCGATGTCCTCTCCTACCTCCTTCACCAAAGCATTCAAGCATTTTAGTTGGTGATATTGCAAACATAAGTGAAGCACTATTGATTCTTCTCCTTCATCCAGAAGTAGCATACGAATGGAGTCGGGCTTTGCACGCACAAACTCATTTAGAAGGTCAATTCTTCTTTTATTATTGCATAGTGAAGAGAGAGTCTACCTTCTTGATCAAGTATCATGCATGCATCAGTATTTGTAGCCAACAGAGCATGGACGATCTCTGCATGGCCCTGGGCTCTTGGGCTATGTTGGTTAAATTCAAATTTCTTTTTAGAGGTTATATGAGTAACTTTATTGAACAATATGTATAAAATTTTATGTACCTCACATTGGCTTAGCACCAAAGCTAGTGTTTGGGTCTTTTTCCGTTGGAAGGCTCGTCCGAGCTTGGTGATTCTTGGACTGTCATAGAGTGGTGGATCAAGCCTTCGTTGCTCCTTTTTCTGAGTTAGCGAGAACTAAGCCCAAAGCATCCCGAGGGAAAAGCAAGTCCCAGGGGAGTACTCTATTCTTCTTCCAGTTGCTACGTGTTTGGTGTTGATGTTTCCTGCAGCTTGACGAAGAGTTGAAGATGACTTGCTGATGTTTCCGGCAACTTGACGAAGAGTTAAAGATGACTTGCTAATGTTGATATGAGATTGTGTGAGCTTGACATGAGAGCTTAGAGTGTGGGAGCTAGAGATCCACAAGTTTAGCAAATGAGAATGCTTGTGCTTAGCTTGGTGTTTGATATGCTTGAGTTTGGGTGTTGAGAACTTATTGTTTGAAGCTATGGCTATGGTGGTTTGATTGTTTGGCTGTGATGGTTATTGGGATGTTTATAGCAGTCAAATAAATGGGGTTTCAAAGAGTATGGCTGAGGAAAGAAAAACTTAAGACTTTGAAGGCTATGGTGTTTGTGAATATGATTCTAGAGAGATTTATGAGTTCTAGAGGTGGGAGGATGGAAGGAAAAGCTTGAGGCTTGAAGGCTATGGTGTTTACAGCTTGGAAGGGTATGAGGAGGAAGGAAAAGCTTGGAGTTATGTTTGGTGAGGCTTTATAGGAAAGATGGAGGATTTCAAGGGTGAGAAAATAGGAAACATGGTTATGATGGTTGAGGAATGGCTGGGACGGCCATTCCATGTTGAGTATTTGTTACTATTCTTAATGCCTTAAATATCTAGCTAATATTTAATTGATGATCCAAACGGAGACCAAGAGGAGATGTTTGGTGTTTGCTTGTTGTAACAAATACCATGTCTTGAATGAGTGCTCGAGAATGACTAACATGACTCATGCAGTTTTCTTGCAGGTTCTCATAGAACTTAATGGGTTATTGATTTTCTAAATATGTTACTCCAGAGAGAATGGGTTGTTAATTAAGAATAATTTTGGTTGAGCCCCAGAGGGGATATTGAATTAATTAGGAGAAACCAATTGTCAACATGGGTAGTGATTATGGGTAATTGGCTATAAGAATTAAGTGGAATTGGTTATGGTGAAATCGGATGCTCCAGTGTCTCACCAACTTGATTTTCCATTGTTAATTAAATTTCTATTTTTCATAACTGTTTTAGTTTAATTAAATCAATCAATCTTCCTATTTAATTGTTCAAATAAACTTATGCATTAATCATAATTAGTAATTAAAAGGAAATTACAGTCTTCATGGGAATGACACTTAACTTATCTCTATATTACTTGTGCGGATTGTACGCTTGCAATAATTTCACAACACATTCCCACTGCTTGTGCTAAATCGGAATTTCGAACAACACGGTTACATCGGAGATATGACGATTGAAGTGAAGTAACTAGTTCATGGCTTCTCATAACCTACTGAAAAAAAGGTCAGACAATTCTCTCTTGTAATTGGCTTTGTAAGTTACAACACGGTTCTCGAGTTCGGGATTGAGTATCGTAGATCGATTTGATGTAGTACCCACTGGAATGGGCTTCGAAGCTCGTATAAACATCGAGAAATGGGCGATCTCAGGTTAGGCCGGTGAATGAAGTTCTGTATCAACTTCATCGATTGTTGAAGTAGCGGTTGACAATTCGAACAAATTAAACTAAATACCTCTCAATTCAGCGAGCATTAGATGAAATGGAACCCCCGTTCAGAAAGGCATAACCTAATTAAGTGAGGTTTTGCCTATGAACTATATCTTTCTGTAGATGGGTTTTAGGCAAGTAGAAAGAAGAGTTGGAGGACCTCACTTAGGATTGGATAAGGCAGACAATTGTGAGCGTCTTAGGTTTTCTCGTGGACGACCCCCATCGTGTGAGTCTGGATCTCTTTTCCTTTCTCATAGTCATATGTGACTCACGTGATGTTCAATAAGAAATGGCTGAACAAGTCATCAGGTCATTCAATCTCAGTCCTTAATTTTTAAAATTCAATTTCAGTCCTTAGATAAATGATTGCACCGGTTCCATTAATGTACCGCTAAATTTTGGCGGAATAAGGCCCCGTTTGGGATTGTTTTTTTTTTTTATTCCCAAAAACCTGCTTCACTTTAAAGTTAAGTAGTTTAAGGTGTTTGGTAAAAAGAAAATATCCCGATTATTTTAAAAGTAATGGCCTTTTGACAGCAGCTTTTAAAAGCATGCTCTGGGTTGCTTTTCAAAGCTACTTTCAAAAAAAGCAGAGATGAACATTTAATGAATTTTTTAAATTCCCAAAATACCATCATTCATTTTACAAAATGACACCACCTCCACTTCCACATCCAACTCCACCACTTGCACCACCACATTCACTACCTCCACAACCACCGCCACCACCACCACCA